AAACTTGACCAAAAATTCTGAAATTTTTTCTGTAAGCTAGTCTCATTGAGACCTTCATTTGTACAAAGTTTCAGGTCGAAATTCGAACATTTGACTTTGCTGAGAAAGTGGGGTCCTACACAGAAAATTCACTGAAAAATCTGATATCTCGGTTCAGGCTTGCTATGGGCACGTAATATTTTAAATTTGTTAGTTTGGCGTTGAGGCTGATCATTTGGTCAGAACATGGTTAAGAAAGCTTTTGAACAATACAAAAGGTTCCATTGTTAGCCACTTCAGAACATCTCTGAATATATACATTCATATTCGCTTTTTAATGAATTTTCTACAACATTAGTACTATTTTTTTTTTGAAAAGAAAATTTTGCTGTAGGATATAAAAAAATTTTTTTTTTTGAATAATTTACCTCTTTGTATATTTCCATAGTTGAATATATTGTAGATAGTAAATAAGTAGAATTCAACATTTGATTTGTTGTTTTCTTCAATTTTTTGTTTTCATATGTATTTGTAGATTTACGTTTACCAGAATAAGAAATCAAATATTCATATGTTAGATAAATATCAAGATTTGAATAGCGACCATTAAAATTATAGAATAATTTTAATCTATGTGATTATCATTTTCTTCTACTCATCTGATTATATGAATTTTAATTATCTTTACAATTTCTACTCACTTCAATTGAATCTTCTGATTCAAATGGATTATCTAAGTCTTCATATTCTTCTTGTTCAAGTTCTAAAATGTAAAAAAATAAAATTTAATTTTTATTATCAATACTAAAACATACTATTAATATTATTTTCAATAATAATCGGCCAAAAAACCATCATCGAAATATGGAATGTCAAGAACTGTTTGTATTTTATTATCCAAACAATCTTGCATAATATTCTAAATAAATAACATTAAAATAAAATATCAACTACTACCTAAGTGAATAGATTTTTTATTTAAATTCTTTCTTTTTATGCGAAGAAATCAGATGATAAGTTCAATACCATTAAAAACTGTTATCTATTTATCATGATACTATCTTATACAATGATTAACTCAAAAACTAGACACTATAGTTTTACGTGTTGTTTTAAACAATAACAAAATGAAGCACCTTTGGAAAATTCTGAGATATCTTTTAATAATTGTATTGAAGGAGAAACTCTTTTTGTTTAATTAACCAAAATATTATATATTTTTTACTTTATAATTAATAATAATACGTTCTGCAATTGCGCTATCAAGCATTTTTTTAGACTAATCTTGTAGACGCTTTGGTTTGACATCCGTGATTATGTAAAAAAATTATTAGCACGTTTTTCTAATTGTGATGATAAATCATTTACTGGTAATTTTGATGCTATATAACGATTTTCTTTACGTTTTATATTATTTGATGTATACATGTATTACATATAAAACCTTCAGACCAAATTTGATCTAAATGTAATGCACATACTTGATGCCAACGACGTGTACAAACAATACAATTAATCACTATTTCAGGTTCTTTTGTATAATTTTTAGCTAATAAAAATAATGATTTTGGTATTTCAATTAATGTTTGAATTGGATCATCACCCATAAATATTGAATCACTTTGAACTGAATTAAAACATTTCGTACAAATTGTATATCTATCATTGGATAGATTAAATTGTGATAGTTCTGGATTGTTATAATAATAATAATTATCATTGACTGAGATTTGACAACATTGTTCCTTTCCATAACATAACAAAACTTGTGGTAAATATACATGTTGACGACCACAACAATAACCTAATGCTTGTACAACAGGATCAATAGATTCAGCAAATAGTTCTACAAGTTTTGTACACACTTTATAGATACGTGTAGTTTTTCTATTATAAAGCCATGCGTCATCACAGAATTCTAATGGATTTTTGTATTCTCCACGTAATAATTTATTATGTATGGTTGATATATCCATTGGATGTTTAATTATTGTGAGATAATCAGGTATATTAAGTGTAACAGGATCAACCGGTTGTTGAAATGGATATGAATCTTCCAAAGTGATCATTTTGTGAATAATTGGTTCAAGATGTATACGTAAGTCTTCAGGTGTAAATTCTACAGAATGTTTGGGTAATTATTCACTTAATACATCAATATGTACTATCATTG